GCCACCATCGCAACTTCTCTGCTGGTACAATGACATCCCAGGGGGCAATTTGTTCGCTTATCCAGTGATCCATCATTTTATCATTTCTTATTGTCAACAGGCATCTTTCCATACAATATTGCATAGCCTATGGTTTGTGACGTTTAGCGATCACCTTAAACAGGTTAGCATTGCGAACAGGTATAAATCGAAAATTTGCAGTTGCAAGTACAGGTTTGGTACCCCCAATTCAAAATTCTGAAAACGGTAACACTGTATTAAGTAGCCCCTCGGTGCAGAGTTTTTTTGAAATACTTTTCGATAATATGAACAACGATCGTAACACCTTTCCCACCCCTCCTACTCTCAACCTTTATTGGCAGTCGTATCTTCTGATACCCAGCCAATCTGAGTAAAAGATCTGAGCAGGAGAGAAAAGTATCTCTCCTCTCTAACGAGGGCCGGAAGGTCAAACGTCATCGGAAGTTCTCTGCGCCCCATTCGTGTACACACTTGGTCACTACTCATTTTGTCTGCAGGGTCAAAAAAAGATACCCATAAAGCATACCTTTATTTTCATATCTCATTTATCATGGAAACAGACCATTAATTGCTAACTTTCATTCCGTCTTCCATCCATTTCCTTAACTCCCTCCCTTCCAACCTACGCAAACTACATGAAAATGTCTTTCCACAGCTGATGCTGTTGCATTGGCAACGCCCCGGGTCAACTTGTGGAATAAGTGAGTTGTTCTTTTCTTGTGATTTATAAAAAGCTGATACGCCGCTTTCTGTAGCACCTGTAATTTTACTCTCACAACAGATATCCTTTCGTAAAGTAACTCACTGTTTTGGGCCATAAATATTTTTGTTCAAAGGAAGCAGATTCGCTATTTTGTGTGTTCAAGTGGAGAATTAGGCTGAGAAGACATATCCAATGGTCTGGTCTTAATAGTTAATATTTGGGAATTTTGTGACCCGCTATGAGTTACCTAATCGATTTCCGTTTCCTTATAGGCATACTTTTATAGAATGGGAAAAGTTCTCACGACGGTCCCGTTTCTTAACACGGCTGTGTGATGAGCGTGCAGTAAACCGTCAAACACTGCCACAGTGAAGTACTTGTGACTATCGTGCCAATTTTTCGGAAATCTCAATTTTTCCTCAGTTTTCCTCAACTCCACCATATCATGTATTCCAAAATCCGGAAAAGTCTCGGTCCCAAGCATATCAGATTACGATACTCAAGCTTTACAAAGCAGTTTCCTGGATAACACCATCCTGGATCTCCCAAAAGTGCCCCATGCTATTTTTACTCTTCTGTTGATTTCATACACTCGGTTGTCCGTTGCAGAGATGAGCTGTGGTAAGTACACGTGGTTTTGCATTTCTTCAAGCATTGACTTCAACACGTCAATCACTCTTTGCGCAGAAATTCATTAATATATTAGGGAAAAAATTCAGAACCACGGATCCAAGCAAAACCTGTTCGTTTTTACTTCGTTCTCCTCGTGATAAGGAGCATCACAGCTACCTATTGAAACCAGATCTCTGAGTAGCAACGTCGCGGGGGCATCGAAGCGTGGAAAATATTTTTTTTTGTTTATATTTTACACTGTTTCAGCGTCAAATCATGTATGCTTTCGGTTATACGGCCGCCTTGCAGCAACCGAGTGCCACAGCATATACCCGAAATTTCGGCCAAGAGGAACGACGATGAAGCAAGAACAGCCCCAACCCCGCCAATCAAATGGCTCGACATCAGTGCAACAAACGGATATTTCGACTATATATATATACTTAAACTTACTTAAACGATCACCTAGGGTACGGGGACAGCGTGATCACACTCTGTGGATCTGGAGAAGAAACGATGGGAGGCTGTCAACGCAATAACGTTGCCCGGATTTGTACGTCATTTTGTCACACCTCCGAACTACGAATGGATTTTACATTATATCGCTTTGCCATGATATGCAATCCTGAATTTAGTAGTGGCCCTCTGACAGCAGCGTGAATGCAGACGATGATCTGCGAGTGTCATTTTGCAAAATTACTGTAAAAGTTTCGACGCCAATAGTCAGAAACCTCACCGGTGCGGGAAAACGGTCCTGTCGTTTAACTCGGTCTGCTGCAAAAGTATTGTGGCCCTGACCATTTGGAAAACAGTAGAATCCCATATCGCTCTTATCTCACATTATTCAAGCTGTCTAAATGATCAATACAAGTTTGAAGCACGTTTGCTAGAAACCTGATAATAGAGGGTATAAAAAGCAACGGCTAACTATGCAACGATGAAGTGCTCGGTACTGAAGTTGCGCGTAGCGATTACTTACTCTTTAATTAGAACTGTGATTGTGACCACTTGATCGGCGGTGCTACTTCACATTGATCGATACGCTACAAAGAGCCATTCAAGCGCCATTGTTACCAGAGACCGATTAGGAAATGAATGAGAGGTTTCAAATGACCCTGGCCATCAGCTGGTGAGCAACTACAATATTGCACTAATTAATATTTCACTACCTCCACCAGACCACTATCGTTTTGTCCGGCAGATGTTGTCAGATGTCGCCAAGCAGCTCATAGTCTTGCGCGCTGCGTGTCGCCGCCGAAACAGCAGGTGGCACAACACCACTTAATAACACTAGAGCTCTGATCTTCCCAATCAAAGCCCAACAGGGGACCGGCACCACTGTCAACGAACGAAGTTACGCAGCTAACTTCGACGACGGATTTCCAACGTCAAAGATAGGATCGTGTATAACGTTGTGGTCACCCCCCTAACTACATCAGGACATTATGTCTGCTTGCATGGCGCATTTCCGTTTACTGGTGGATCCGGCCGATCATGGGGACACGACCTCGTCGTGACACACACAACGTCTGATTGGGCTTTTCTTAGATTCATGCCCCAGTGGCTCGGTAGTGACCGCCCGATCGTCGGCCGCCTTCCTTTCGCTTCCGCCAACGATTCATTCACGTGAGGTCAGCGACGACAACGGACGAGTGACCGCTGTTGACTCATTCTCAAGTTTGTTTTTCCTATTGACCGTTAGAGCGTCCTTAAGGTCATTCGGTCAAACCGCAAAACGTCCGAAACGCTGACAGGAAGCTTCCAGAACGAGCTCGGTTTCGCATTACAGGTCAGTGGAAAATTTACTGTATTTAATTTACAACAGGTCCATCGTATGAAAAGTTAATAATCCATGGGCAGAAACAAAATGACTATAATATTAGCAAGAACTTCGTGATTTCTAAGATATTAATCTTGCCTGCCACGAGGATCGATATGAGTAAAAATACTGCACATCCGTCACCCGTTCCAACCTGATGGAGGTCGATGGTTTAGAGTAGTGAAAACGCTTTTGCGTCATAGTCAGTCACAAATAAACACCTATGTTACTTTCATTTGATCTATAAATTATATACCACAATAGTGATCCGGTGTTGCTCAGTCGACAGACCACGTCGAACACGGAACCGAGAGGCTTCGGGTTTCGACTGCCGGTCGGGCAGACTCGTTTATCATCCCTCGGAGGCTGATAAATAAGCATTACTCTGTAGGAAGGTAACCGAAGACTCAACATTTGGCTTGTAACGTACCTGTTGCGGATTTTGCTTTAAAAAACACTCTTGACTGATGGCATGGAAATGCAGATTACCGTCTCAGAATCAGCTCTTTGAACACGGTGCCAGAAATGACCGCACAACGAAAGTGTACGAAAGACTAACATTCCAACGGTTACAAACTTTCCGCTTCATTCATTCGACAAGTATTGACAGATTTTTTGCTGGCATTATGCTTGGTACCATCCTGCTTCGAAAAACATATCAGTTTAGGTAGCATCGTCCATTCTGTCCATGTCGGTGCTTATTCAACGCCTAATGTTCCTTGCAGAAACAGGCCAAATTTTATCCAGTCTAAAGACTGAATTGATTTTCTTCAAGAAGCTCATCGTCATTAAAAACAACCCATATTTTTTAGTTTTTATAACACAAAATGTCCCTGAGTTATATATAATGACAGTCAGGATAGGATTTTCACACGGCACTACCTTGATTCTATCGCAATACGTTCTTTACCTCTAAACCTAATGCAACTGTCCCATTATGGTAAAATCTAATTTTACCTGTTTTACTATATTACAAATGAATGTTACCTTCTTTGCTACAGTTCCGGTGAAATGTACAAACTCACTCTGAAGAGTTGCCGTCGCTCTTGGACAAATCTTTGTATTGCTTTCTTCATTGCTAACTGTCAAGAAACTGTTTTCTTTCTCAAACGGGTCATTTAAACTACTAGTACCGACTGTTCTTCACTTCTTTCAAGGGACAGCATTTTACGGTCCTCTAAAATTGGAGCATGTTACTTGGATATATTACCAGGGTTATTCAGTCGGTCGAGCGTCGCATTCGCAGTTGGCAGAAC